CAGCAGCTTCACCTTCTTTAGATATTCTACTCACGGTTTTCTCCGACATGCCTGAAATAGACACCAAATTTGTATCATTTTATAAAATTAAATATTTATAAAATACAAATACAGACATTATCATAAAAAAATAAATTAAATTAACTGAGATACGTACTTTTTTATTTTAATTCGTAATGTTAGTAATTTCTTACGAGGGTGGATTGAAAAGTACTCGGCCTAACACAGATCCATTCAATTCTAAAAATCAAATCTACCCACATTATTTAGTTCAGTTCAGACTAGTTCATTGTGTGAAGTTCGAAACGTGTGCGATAATTAGTTTTGATTTTATTAATTTATTAACAAAGTAATCGGACGTAATTTCCGCGAATGGAGCAAATCGAGCAGCGTGCCGTCATTAAGTACCTCCATAAGAAGGGGCTATCATCAAAAGCCATCCATGATGACATGGTCAGTACATTAGGCGATTGTGTTCTATCATATTCATCCGTCAAAAAATGGATAGCAGAATTTAAGCATGGTAGAGAGAGTGTGAAAGATGAACCCCGCTCTGGAAGGCCTTCGACGTCAACTACTGACGAAAATATTAAAAAAAGTACTTGATTTAATAATGGGAGACCGCAGATTAAAAATTAGAGAGATAGCCGAGATTATAGGCATCTCTTATGAACGAACTCAAAACATCATTGTCAACGAGTTGGGTTTCCACAAGGTGTCTGCGAGGTGGGTTCCGCGACTGCTTTCAGTTGAACAAAAAAGGACGCGATTGACTATTTCACGCGACTGTTTGGAGTTATTTGAAGCCTATGCAGATGATTTTTTGAATCGTTTTGTTACTATGGACGAAACATGGGTTCATTACTGTACACCGGAAACAAAACAACAATCAAAACAGTGGAGAAGACCTGGTTCACCACCCCCTAAAAAAGGCTAAGTCGATTTTGTCGGCAAATAAGGTGATGGCTTCAGTATTCTGGGACTCGAAAGGTGTGATTATGATTGATTATCTTGAAAGGGGTCAGACTATAAACTCTGATTACTACTGCACCTTACTACGTCGTTTACGAGAGGAAATAAAAGAAAATCGTCGAGGAATGCTCAGAAGAAAAGTCCTGTTTCATCAAGATAACGCCCGTGTTCACACGTCAGTACAGTCAATGGCTGAAATTCACAACTGTGGCTTTGAACTGTTACCGCATCCGCCGTATTCACCTGATCTGGCACCATCAGACTTCTTTCTAACCTAAAAAAGCACTTGGGAGGTCAAAGATTTTCGACAAACGACGAGGTCAAAGCAGCTGTAGACGCATATTTTCACTCTAAGGAAGAATCATTTTTTTTCAACGGTCTAAATGCTTGGAAGGGGAGGTGGCAAAAGTGTATTGAACTTGATGGTGATTATGTAGAAAAATAAAAATATAACTGATTTAGTATGTGTTTATTTTCTTGGTTAGGCCGAGTACTTTACAATCCACCCTCGTATTATTACCTATACTAAAGGCATTTTGCATGAAGCTGGCATCCCTATTTTACTAACCTGTCATGGCGGCGACGCGAGTTCGCACTTGATTGAGTGGAATTAACGGGGCTTGGTTTGCCTTTACTCTCTCACAAAAGGCACGCACCTTCAACACAATCTCTTGTACTGCTTCTAAATGGTTTCGGCATAATTAATTCGGAATATTTTAAATAATAACACAAAAACGAGCGTTATAATCACAAACTGACAATAGATTGACAAGCAATAGTGCCAACATCACAGCAGGGGACATCTTACGGTGAACGGGCTATAGTGCATGCCCATAAAGTATGACATTGACAGGTACTGTCTGTACTACTAAGAAATTCAGGACTTCATAAGCGTGATTTTTACTGACAGCTGTCGCAGAGATCAAGCTATCTTTTATGAAGCATATTATAGTCTATAAGTTGTAGTTACGCGGAATTCGAGGTTCACACACCGACTCGTCAGTGAAGTCACAAGGTTCCAACTGAAAACCAGCGCTGCCTCTGCAGCATTATGCTGAGTCGGAGACCTATTTGATGTCAAATTTTATCTTTAATTTTTTATGTTTTTTTTTGTTTCATTATTAATAAACATCATGCATGTTCTGCTTATTAAATAATTTTTAATGCGTTAGCAGTCTTACACCTGCGCATGGATATTCTTTGCCCCTTGTAATTTATATTTAAATTTCTTAAATTGTGTGTAAAGTGTGATTATCAAATAAATGGTTCTTTCTTTCTTTCTTTCTTTCTCGTATTTCCTCTGTTTCAAGGCACTCCCTTGCTGTCTCCGCTAGCATCGGAATCCTCGGCGTTGACATATCGAATAGTGTGCAGTTTCGTGGTCACTTGGAGGGGAAAACCAAAATGGCATCTAAAAAGGCTGGCGTGCTCAGCAGAGCGAGACAATATTTCATGTCGGCACATCGCTTGCAACTTTATAAAGCGCAAGTTCAGCCTTATATGGAATACTGTTCCGATCTTTGGGCTGAAGCACCCCAGTGCCAGCTCCTTCTACTTGACTACATTCATCGCAAAGCAGTTCGAATCGTTGACGAAGAGTTCTTTTTGATGGCTCAATTCACTGGCGCTGCGTAGGCATGTTGCATACCTTAGCATTTTCTATCGCATTCACCACGGGGAGTATTCTGAGGAATTGTTCGGATTAGTTCCAGCCGCCAACATCCATGAACGCACATCGCGTCAAAATTTTCGATACCATCCTCACCATCTTGATGCTTGTCGGTCCACTACTGTGCATTTTACTAGGAGTTTTCTTTCTCGTACAACTTCACTGTGGAATTGTTTACCCCCGGCGACTTTTTCGGACCAATAACACTTAGGGATCTTCAAGAAAAGAGCTTACTCCTTTCTAAAAGGCCAGCAACGCACCTGCAGTTCCCCTGGTGTTGCGGTTGTCCATAGGCGACGGTAGTCACTTACCATGGGGTGAGCCGATACGAGATTTGGCGTGCTGCAAAACTTAACGTGGTTGCCTTCTCCCACACGCTTTCTTATAACATAGCGTATTTAATATCGCGCTAGAAATTTATATCTTATAGTCTGTAGCTTGCTATTGATTCATAGCCGTTTTGAACAACTTACTTAGCTTGATACATAAAAAAAAATATTTGTCTATGGTGGATATGCGGGAAACTTTATTCTTTGGTCTAGGGGTGTCCACTTAAAACATATTTCGTTTCATTTATATTCGATGTAAAACATCGGATCCCAGCATCGATGTTTATCGATGTATCCCTAGAAAACTGATATTTTTTCACTATCGAATATTTCCACAGAAGTTTAATACTACCCTTTTCTACAGCGAAACGTGCAAAGTTTGTCGTCCTTGATTTTGTATGTGTAAATATCATAATATATAGTATCATAATAATAAGAACCAGAGATTAGAGTAACATAGCAGCATATTTTCTTTATTCATATCCAAAAATGCAGCTTTATGGATATTTTTATGTGGTTAAGTAGGTTTGATGTATTGCTATAAGATATAATTTTTTGTGTCTTTAATGTTTTTGGCAAATTTCGCATTTTACAAAGTTTTCATTTCCCTCAGTTTTCGTAAAAACCTTCCATACATGACTTTTCTTTGGAGGCACCATCTTGTAATTAATTAAAAAAAGAACAAATCAATTAATGTTAATTTTTATCTGTAATTTTATTTTGTGCATGTAGTGTCACATCACTATTGAGCTAATTTGCTTACAAAATTAAAACCTAAATAACAATAATGATTTTTTAAATTTACGCGAACACTACACATTGAATAAAACTATTATTTACGGATTTTATCGCGTTTATGCGCAATTACGCGATAAAATCCGTAAATAATAGTTTTATTCAACCTAAATAAGAAATCGAATAACTACTTACTTCATTATAATGATATAGCATTTATAAGAATAAAAGAGGAAATATATTTATTATTATGAAATGTATTATAATTTAAAAGATCATTATGTCTATCTATATCTTAAATATAAAACACTGTCACAAACGAGTAGAAGTTAGGTTCATAAACATAATAATAAATATAATAATAATGTCCTCCAGACCGAATTTCGGCCACGGCGGCCTGCCTCAACAGAGGCTAGCCATTAGCGCAGTTCAGGATTATAGTGCCCAAGTGTATGCACAAGCAGAGGTGCAGTCTCTTTTCGTTGACTCTCATAATCCGATGGGACGGTAAACCGACACGACCGGAGAGAGATCAGGCGCAGGACCCACAGCTTTACATGCTTTCCGAGGCACGGGGGTGAGACACTGCCAACTTCCTGACTCCGGGCAACTACTGAGAATTTCTTGATGGTAAAACTCAATAATTAATTTTTTTGGTCATAAAAATACAACAAAACATAATAAAAATACAATATTACATACCTTTTCAACTTCTAACTAGCAATCAGATGATGCGTCAACCGTCAACTCAGTTGTAGTAGCAAGTAATAGTCTTACATAAACTTGTCTTAGACAAACAATCAAAACAACGATTTAATTACGTTACCGCCAAACAGCAGAAGACGACTCAAGAAGAGTGAGAATGAATGAAATAAATATAATGCACCTATAGAATCCACAGAATACATACATTGAGAGTGAATGGTCGATCGATCTGTCAGGATAGATTAGGTAATTAAGCTGGTCACTTACAGATGTGACTATCTTAATGAACTTTATTTAAAATTGAAGTCATTAGGTAGTGTTAAAATTATTTAGTTTTTTAATAAAAAAAATTCTATAAATAAATGTATCGCTATATCGAATACAATAAATATTTATCGTAACACCGAATCGATCCGATATATCGTACGGAAAACATCGATTAAAATCGATGTATCGATGTCAAGTTAATAATACCCACCCCCACCTGTCAAACTACAAGAATAATTTCACTTTTGCCAACTTTTGCTCAAAATCAATCAGTAAACGCTAGAGCTAAACGTTTGGTAGTGTTATATGTATATCAATTGTAGATGAGGACATTGAGTGAGATAGGTAAAAATTATTTTTGTGTCATACTTCAGCAAAAATTTAGTGACCTTCAGTTCTGTTGTGGTAGGTAATTGAATTGTTTATTTAGGAATCTGCTATTAAGTGATATGAGTCATCCTATTACGAAGCGCTGTGTAAAAGTTTCCGCCGTATTTTATTGCCGCAATTTTTTCTTTGGTGGTATAGACCCTTTTATTATAATTTTGAAATCAGCAAATTGAGCAAACCCATAGGTGCTGAGAAAAAAATTTCCAAAAGATTCTTTCGGGATTGGTGTGACAGTAGGAGTAGTAAGGGTGGGAAAATTCACGTGATGGGTCTTAAATTATTTTTAAGCAATAGTGAGGTCAATTATATCTTTAAAGTCGAAGTCAACAACTCAGAAGTCAACAATAAACACTCTGAAAGTCAAAAAGTAAAATTTTGGAATACTGTCTTATAAAAAGCTCTGAGGACATGGACATTTTAGAGGCTTATGTAAAAGGTCAAGGTCAGAAAAAAAGTAAAATTAATCTTAAGTCCATGTCGTAGTAAAATCTCCATATTTGTAATAAGGCATAATGGATGGAGCCCCACTATGCAGGGCTCCTATTTCTGTTTGAAGGGCTTAAATAACCTAACATGAAGGGGATGGTGGTCTTAGTCCGCTCGCTTTGCTATCTTACCAGATCCCACCAATCACCTCGAACCTCAACTGTCCTGGTTGGGGTGCCCTCAAGTTCCAAGCTCACTTCACTCGCTTGTATCCTAAGTTCTCTTTGCTTTTATATTGAGTTGTGTTATTTTTGAATATTATGTTGGTGTTGTGTATAATGTAATAGTGTTACATAAAAGAAAAAACAAATCGAATTTTATTAAAGTATTTAATGAATTTTATAAACATATAAAATAAATTTTAATAATTCCTTGAAAGGGTCAAAATGGTTTATGTTTATTCGATGCCTCCAAGCATATTTACTGAGTAAGTCGGCAAAATTTTCGTAGTAACATTGTACATTATTATTTATTGGTGTTCAAGGGAAACTGTTAGCTTGGATTGAGACTTTTCTACAACAAAGAACCTTCAGAGTAAGGATTGTACTGGCGCCAGCATTGTTTATACCTTTAATATTATTAATAAATATAAATAATACTGTTTACCTTTAATCTACCTAAAAGCTTTAGTTGTAATGTAAGCATGTTCGCTGATGACATGATGATATTAGCAAACTCACTAGTGGACTTTGATCACCTTCAAGCAGATTTAAATTAAATATGGTAAAGGGGCTTATTAAATTAAATATAAGTAAATGCACAGTTCTCCATATGGGAAACTGAAACTCTCGTTTCATATATAAAATTGATGATATACTTTTCGACGAAGTTAAGGTACAAAAAGATTTAGATTTGCATATAAGTAACATCTAAAATGGAAACATCATATTACAGTGATAAATAAAAAAGCAGATAGTTTTATTTAATTGATAAGATGAGCCTTCGCATCTTACATGATGCTTAAAATACTTAAGGCATACATTCAACCTATTTTGGAGTATGCATTCCAAATCTGGAGCCCCTATTTCAAAAAGAATATTGATTTACTGGAGAAGGTTCAATGCAGATTTTCTAGGGTCCCTAAATTATTGAAAAACATTCCATATGAGGAAAGGCTGAATCAACTTGAAACTAACAACACTGAAAGTTTGCAAAGAACGCGGAGACTTGTTCGAAGTATATAAAATTATACATGGACACTACAATCTGGAAAATTTTGACAAAGATTTAATCCAGTACTCAACAAATGCACATCTTAGGGGACATCAAATTAAATAAAGCCGTGTCACATAATAACCCACACAAGCACTTTTTTAGCCAAAGAGTGGTTGAAGCATGGAATAAGCTGCACAAACTATTAACTAATTCAAGAATAGAGTAAATAAACATTTAAAATTAGAATAATTACACATTTAAAAATGGGATACAGACTTATATCAGTTGTTTCAACTGCTAGCTTGTTAAGTAATATATAATTTTCTTTGTGGAAGGCCCCCTTTTCCTACACGCCAGTGGCTCTCTATACGCATTGTGTGTCTCCCATCTGGTGCCACAAATCTATTTTCTTTATCATTATGATTAACTTTCTTTATGAATATGTTTTTTATGTATATGTATGATCTTTTTTACCGTCTGGAAAAAATAGGGTGTAACATGTGAACAGAGTAGAAGCCTATGGAAAAAATAGTGTATAACATGTGAACAGAGTAGAAGCCTATGGAAAAAATAGTGTATAACATGTGAACAGAGTAGAAGCCTACGGTACTGATATTTTACAAAAAATAAAAACAAAATTTTGAATAAAATATTTGGAATATTTTTTTTTAACAATTTACAAACTTTGCCATTTGCCCTAGAGCCTGTGACAGTGAATAGTCTAAGTAGAAGTAATAAGGTCTAAGATGCCTACTAAATTTATTGTTTTATAGATTATAGATTTTAATTAATTTAATTCAAAAGTTTTGTATTTATTTTTTGTAAAATATCAGTGCCATAGGCTTCTACTCCGTTCGCATGTTTTTTTCCAGACGGTAAAAAGGTCATCCACTATATCCATGTTGGGAAAGGTAGTCATAAGCTCTCCAAAAGTCTGTATGTATTATGGAGCCCTATGGCCCTGATATTTTAAGTGTCATAGCCATAAGGCTAAATCACATTTTCGCTTCGCAAATGTACATTTTCAAACCAGGTTCTAGCTGCTTGTTATTGGGTTGTTGTGTTGGGTTCAATGAACCCAGTTGACCAACAAGGATTTAAATGGTCATTGGCTGATGGTTATGCCCACATCTTTTATCTAGGGATCATGCCCCATTGATTGACAAACTCGGAGCATGCTTTGTGGCTGCCTAATTTAGTATATAATCTCTTTCCAGCAGTTCCATAAAGCACGAATTTCTGCCTTCGTTTTATGGAACCGCTTATTCAAAGCTCCAGAGGTTCTGGCCAGTTGCATGTCCGCATCATTGGAACTTCCGAGAATGGGCGATAGGGTACCTGTGGAACATGTGGTTCATCAGAGTCAGTTTGAGCAGCACATGTTGCCTCATTCCTTGGTACAGCGCCCACAAGTAGCTCACTAGAGTCCAACACTTGAACGACATAACACTTCAAGAGATAATACCGCAGTGGTGCACGAAGCGAGGCATGAAGCCAGCCAGTGGCTCTGATCAAGTGCGCACAAGCGGCTCATGAGAGTCCAATACTTGCACATCACCTATAGCGTTAATCCTTGGTGTAAGTGGCTCATTAGAGTCCAATACTTGTACGTCACTTAACACTTCGGGAGATAAGACCGCAGTGGCGCACGAAGTGACACACGAAGCCAGTGGCTCCGATGAGCCCCCACAAGTGGCTCTTGCGGTGTAGCGCATACAAGTGGCTCACTAGAGTCGTCAACACATGTACAAGTATCTTCACTACCTAATGCATTCCAATACTTTTTGTCACAAGATGGGTCTGTAACAAATTTTATTATAATTAAAAAGTAGAAAATGCTGTCAAGACTTAACTTCGGGATTGGGAGAAGACGCAGCGGAACACGCAGACGAGAACTTCGGGGACGCCATGTTGTCAATCAATTATTGTTGCTAACAGGGGTATCTTAGACGCTCTGTGGGTATAAACGATGAATAATAACTGTCAAACACCACCGTCGTTTACATTCAATTGCGTTTCGATACGCGCGGTCTTTTATAAGTACAAATAAATCTTTATTATTTTTAATTTTATTTATTATATTATTTAGTTAATAATTGTGTATAATATATTAGCAGCTATTTAAAAGTGAATTAAAGTTAGAAACTTGTAATATATAAACTAAAAATCACTAAAATCCGCTGTCAATTTATCTTAACGTAAAACGGAACTACCTAGGAGTGAAATTCGTACAGGAGTCAAATTATCTGTGGTAAAATAACATATTATTAGGTAAAGAAGTTGTTTTATTAAAACTTTAGGATTTTTTTTCTCGATAACTATGAGGATGCTCAATGTAATTTTTGATTTTAAGCGTTCTACATGAAGAGATCTATAAGGAAAAAATACGACAGGTTTTAAAATGGCGAAAATCTTTGTAACGTAGTGCCCACAAGTTCGCTGAGACTAGGTACTAAACGTAATAACTTGAACGCTTCACGATATATCTATATTTCAGTTGCAGTCTTTTTGTTACTAATATCGCTTAACTCAATATCAACGGAAAAAATGGATGAGAAAGCTCTGACTTCATCAATCGCTCAGTTTTCAGCAAGGTTTTGTAATGTAAGTATTGTGATTGCAATATTTTATTATATTATAAAATATGGAGGTCAATAGATGCAGGCATCTCAGTGCCATTCCTTGTTCCAATGTTCAATAGTTGATTTGCAAATTTCACATTGTAAGATCTACAATGACCTACTGTATCATAGGCATCATATTGGCTTATAGGAAATGCTGTGAGCACTAAGCGTGCGGTGTTTACCTATTATTGAATGTGCACTTAATTTATATTACTGTCTTAGAATTAAGCATATGTATTAGTGTAACATTTGTTGGTAAATAAATTTAAAAAATCATTATGTCTGTGATAGTCTGTAATGTGTCATGTTTTTATAAATCTGTACACCTGATATTATTATTTATAATAGCCATAAATAATTTGCTAAAATAACAAATTATTAACATGTTTTTATTACATTTACGTCGTGGGTGTCGTAAGAGTCAACAGAACGAAACTGAGGGAGAAGATGGACAGCAGCATCTTGCTGATCAGCAAAAAGCAATAAAAAAACTGCGCTTGCAAACCCGCTCGCTAAGCATGGCAACTATAGCAATATGCAACTAAGACTGCCACCTAAGACGCCTCGACTTTGCAACGTATAACGCATGCACCTTGAGGACTGACGACACGTTGCGCTGAAATATTATATGATTATCTGAGGCCCGAAGAGAGGGGGAGGACACGGCAATTCTCGAATCCGGCAACTTGTTCTATCACTGGCAGAGCGACCCTCTGTCCCAAGGATGTGTCGGATTTATCGTTCACAAGTCGCTCGTTCACAACGTTCTAAAGATTGGGAGTGTGGGGACGAGGGTTGCGTACCTTATACTCAGAATCACTAAACGGTATTCGCTGAAGGTCATACAGGTTTACGCGCCAACCTCGGCACATCCCCATAAGAGGTGGAGGAAATGTATGAGGATATCTCAAGAGCCATGCATTCCTCCAAAACACTATACGGTGTTAATGAGAGACTTCAGCGTAAAACGAGGCACAAGAGGGAACGGTGAGCTGGAAGCAGGGAAATTTGGAATAGGGCAACGAAACCCAAGAGGCCAGCAGTTGGCCGACTTTATGGAGAAAGAGGCACTCCTTATGAACGAACGAGATGAACTCTTTCTTCCAAAAGCGGCCTCACAGAAAGTAGACCTGGTTGAGCCCTGACGGTTCGACATAAAATGAGATTGACTCGATTATGACGATCAGATGCTAACTGTTCAGTGATGTCTCAGTGATCGCGAGGGTGATAACTGGCAGCGATCACCGAATGATGAGAGGCACACTGAACCTAAACGTGAAGTTGAAGAGGTCTAGTGAAGTCAACGCTCTGTCCCCCTCGTGCTCTAATCCAAAGCCCCGAAAACTTTCAGCTCGAATGACAAAATCGTTTTCATTGTCTAGAAGACTGCAATGAAGTGGACGATATGAATGACAAGCTTGTAGAAACTGTCCATGCGGTCGGAGGTAAGTGCTGTAAGACCTGTCGCAGAAGAACGCAAAAATCTCCGAATACACTCTTAAATCTCATGGCTGTTAGACGGGGTATGAAGCTGCAGTCTTCAGCAGATTTGACAGTTTACAGACAACTGAACAGACATCTCCAAATGCATGCGGTGGAACTTACGTAACTTCATTACTGCTCGTATTAAAGAAGCGATCGAGCGGAACCAGAGCTCCAAAGTCTTTGCCAAAGATCTTTTTTCCAGAACTGTCGAAACTGAAGACCAAATATGGCAGCATCTATTCCGATACACCAGAGATTTTGAGTGAGATTGAGAGGTTATATGAGCAGCTGCATGCTTCTGAAAGCGGGTGGAAAACAGATAATTAAAGTCCTTCAGAAGCTCTGTAATTCTGTCCTTAATGGTAGCACTACTCCGCAGTCGTGAAGCAGTAGTGCGGTGGTTTTGTTTTTCGAGAAATGCGACAACGCTCTTTTGAATAACTACAGACCGATTTCCCTTCTGAGTCGCGTCTACGTGCTGGTTTCGGGGGTAACTATGAATCGTCTCTCACGCAGACTCGACGATTTCCACCCTCCCGAACAAGCCGGTTACCGAAAAGGCTTTAGCACCATAGACCCATTAGACACCAGATACCCTTCGGCAAATTATACAGAAGTTCGAGGAGTACAATCTGCGACTTTGTCTTGCGTATGTGGACTATGAGAAAGCCTTTGATACCCTTCGGCAAATTATACAGAAGTTCGAGGAGTACAATCTGCGACTTTGTCTTGCGTATGTGGACTATGAGAAAGCCTTTGATTCCGTCGAAATTGGGGTAGTGCTGCAGTCCCTTCAGTAGTGCCAAGTTGACTATTGGTATATTGAAGTGCTGAAATGTTTGTACATAAGGCTACGATGGCTAACCGAGTACAGAACCAGAGTACGAAACCTATCCATCTGCAGTGAGGTGTAAAACAGGGTGACGTAATATCCCCGAAACTCTTCACCCCTGCATTGGAAGACGTTTTCAAGCTACTGAACTGAAAAGGTACGGTACGGTATTAACATCAATGGCGAGTACATCACTCACCTTCGATTTGCCGAAGATATAGTCCTTATGGCAAAATCGCTGGAGGACCTAAGCCTCAACAGTGCTTCCCAACGGATAACTCTTAAGATGAACATGGACAAAACAAAGATCATGTATGACGTCCATGTCTCATCTATGCCAGTAGTTGTTGGGAGCACTAAGCTCGAAGTTGTTGACGAGTATGTTTACCTGGGACAAATAGTCCGACTAGGTAAGTCCACCTATTCAACTCGGCTCGGCTGCGTTCGGGAGATTACGACACATTTCTCGCCAGGCATACCTAAAAACCTCGAAACTAGATTGTAAAACCAGCGCGTGTTGCCAATGGTGACTTATGGATCTGAGACGTGGTCCTACACTGCTGGCCGTATGAGGAAGCTCAAAGTCGCTCAGCGAGCTATGGAGAGAGCTATGTTCGGGGTTTCTCTGCGTGATAAACTTAGGAATGAGGATATCCGCAGTAGAACCAGAGTCACCGACATAGCTTAACGGATTAGTAAACTGAAGTGGCAATGGGCCGTCCATATAGCTTGAAGAACCGACAACCGATGGAGAAGAAAGTTTCTCGAGTGGCAGCTCGTATCGGCAGGTGAAGTGTAAGGCGTCCCCACACTAGATGGAGTGATGGCCTGGTTAGACATACAGGAAGTCTATGGGTGCAGGTGGCTCTGGACAGTGCTTTGTAGCATTCCTTGGGGGAAGTCTATGTTCAGCTGTGGACTTGTGAATGGCTGTTATGAATGAATGGATGAGTGGACATGTTTTTTATTTTGTATATTATGTATCTACATCAATTAACTTTTTCATGTTATGAACTGCATTTACAATTGTTTTAGGAATTAGATAAAAGCAAAAGTGTTGTGTCATCACCATTATCCGCTGAATTTGTGCTAGCACTTTTAACTTTGGGTACGACTGATCCTGCACATGGAGAGTTATTGACAAGCCTTGGAATTCCTGATGATGAATCTGTAAGTAGCAGGAATGTTGTGAATATTTGCATCCGCATCCCAAAGATTTAAATAGTTAGATGTGCCTTCACCTTGAAAACTGTGGCATTATTTTTGGATGTGTTCGTTTGCAAGACGCTGACGCGCGCACACTAATGCAATAGTGTCATCTCTTATTATCTTACAGAAATTGTGTATAATACTTTCTCTGTCGCACAAATGAGCACTGATTGCGAATGAGTGAGCTCACTCAATTGAGAATGGACACATTTCGGAGTGGTCGTACTATGGTAAGGGCGCATCTAACTATTTAAATCTTTGCCGCATCCATTGAAGTAATATGTATTTACGTACTAGATCAGCTATTTCAAACAAAACATGTGCGCTACTCTGTGTTGGCGCGGTTGTTTTTTTATCATAGAATAAATATAGGTAGAATGATCAGTAGGTAATAATAAATTGTATTGTTAAATAGATAAATTATATCGAGAACTATTTTCAAAATTTGTCATTTATTTTGTATATTATATTCGCTTATTTAATATAATATTACATTATATTATATCATAATTACATTTTAATAATATTTTTATCTGAATATTTTAAAAGGTAATGTCAAATATAAAAAAACATACTAAATGTATGTTTAACAAAACTTGTTAATATAAAATTTAAATTACAAATATATTTATTTAAATTAGAATAAGCGTCGTTCATACATGCTGGGCACGCGAGATTTAAAAATGGACGAATTTATTCCACTTTGACTTTAATGTGGAAACCTAAAAATAATATAAAAGAATAATGAGCAGATTTAAATATAAAAAATTGGCCTAATTATGATAACTCATATATGTTTCTACAAAAAAAATGTGTATAATAATATATTCGTTCTGTACCCACATAAAATGTCGCATTTGAACAAACTAATTTCATAATCTATATTACATGACACAAGATGGCGTCTTATGAACCATTTGTTTTATTATTAAGTTATAATAATTTTTTATTGATTAAGTATCTTATTAACCGATGAAAAGTAATACCTTGGTTTTTACTGACATTTATTCAATTTTTTGTGAAATATCTAAGTACACACGACGGCATATTTTTATCAAGAGATTTTTTTTTAAATCAACACAACACGTGACAACTCTACAAGCGCCTAGCGAGTGACTGATTAAAGTGCGGTGTATGCACCTCAGTTGAATGGAACAGAGTAGCTGAATGCAGTGTCGTCTCTAGTACGTAGTACATAATAGCTCAATGGCCGCATCCACGTTTACGGAACTCCTGTATTGATTTATATTATACATCTGCACTGGCAGATTGGTGTTTCTGTGGATGCGAATGGCTACAAGGTGTGCTAAGACATTGGGCGGGGGCAGTAACTTGTATGTATCATATGTGTGTAGATTTGCCACAATGCTCCAAATTCTTATATTCTATACCAAAAATTTGGTTCTTAAAAAACCATCTATTATGTTGTGGGTGTTGAAGTAGGCAACCCAAAGAAATGGAACAGGAGATGAGCAGCTTCTATTTCTTCTTGGCTTTATCATAACTCAAAATAATAAAGAAAATTGCAATTGCCAACTTGCCTGCCAATTGTGGGAACTACAGAAAACAGGAGAGATTCTTATGAGGTGATCCAAGAGGGAAGGCTCCCTCTTAGATTCAGCAGGAGATTTTTGATAGGCCGTAAAGAATGAATGAATAAACATATTTTTCACTTATTTACATAGTTAATGTATCTTACAAAAACATAAGATCTGTGTATGAAGTTTACTTCTTTGCATTTTCATTCGCATCTACAGATGTAATTAATTCTGCAACCCCTAGTAAAAGCTAAATTTAGTATTTTTAAAAAATAATGATTTTATATTACGTGGTAGAGCCACCCTGCAACTACATTATGGTTGTAGCACGAATAGGTCGGCTTGACCAAGGACCACACTCTCACAGAATACCGGCGTAAAATAGCAGCTTAATGTTGCTGTGTTGCGTATAGTGAGTGTAGAGTACCGGAGACCCTTTATTACTGGAAACGAGGCACTCCATCTTAGCCCTCTGGGTTATCTGCATTTTGATTTTTAATCGAGGATAAATGTAGATGTCTATAGACCACAGCATCCCTTACCATCAGGTGGACTGTGTGCTTGTTTGTCACTCTTATTTTCAAATTTACACAATAATTATTCTCAATTTTCCATTTTTAAATATTTCATTTTGTTGACAAACTTTTCAAACTGCCATTCATTTAATAATTGTGAAAAATTTATATTCACTATGCTTTTTTGTGTAGGGATAATAACTTATTGTTTTTGCAGATTCGCTCATCATTTTCTGTAATGTCGGGTAAATTGAAATCTATTAAAGGTGTGACATTAAACGTAGCAAACAAGGTGTATATAAAGGAAGGAGGCTATGATCTGGAATCTAAACTAAAAGAGGATGCTGTAAAGATTTTTGATGCTGCTTTTGAAAAGATAAATTTTGATGATGGTGCTGCTGCTGCCAACATTATCAATAAATGGGTAAATGTCACCTATGTAATTTGCATTCAGCATTTATAAAAAGACATTGGCATATATACTTATTACATAATTATGAGGGTAATTAAAAGTAGAAAAAAATTTGAAGTACCTATAAATGTTTTGGTTACAGGTTGAAAGCAAAACCAACGAAAAGATTAAAGACCTCCTTTCAGGTGACAGCCTTAACAGCGATAGTAGATTGGTTTTAGTAAATGCTCTCTATTTTAAGGTAAAGTTTAACATTAGAAATAAAAGTTAACAATTTTTATGAATTGTTAGAGCTTATTTTATTATGTTTGCAGGGAACATGGAAGAAACAATTTGACATAGCCAATACTATGGATCAACCCTTCCATGTTGATGAAGAAAAAACGATAATGGTGCCAATGATGTACAAGGAAGATGACTACACATACGGAGAGAGTCAAGAACTTGGGGCTCAGGTATAGCTAGTTATAAGTTTGGTAACTATATTATGTACTTTGTGTTTTAAACTTGTCTCAGTGCCCCGCCAAGTCGAGCAAAAAAGCGGTACGCCAGTACCATCCTTTTGTCGAAGCAGTTCAGGCCATTTTCGACCCCCCTATAACTTCGTAGTGGATAAAACCAGAAGCATGAATTTTCAGTAATCAAGCAGACATTGTATAAACACGGTATATTTCAAATTTCATTCAATTTGAACCAGTAGTTTAAAAATTATAACTAGTCAAAGTTTTTTAATTTTGTCACTCACTGACTGACTGACCGATCATCAAAACTCACTTGCATTTCTAGCAGATATAGAAGCTTCAAATTTAGAATACAATTAGTGATTAGTGTATAAATCAAGGAAAAACTAAAATATTTTGCAATATCGGTCCAGTTTTATAAAGATACACCAACTGCGTTTTTTTTTGTAATCCAATATAAATATATAGGATTACAAAGTTACATTTGCAGTGAATGAATCAGTGCACGTATATGTGTATAATAATATGGAATAATAGGTAAGTAGTAGGTAATTCAAGAAGTAGAAGGTACCGGAAAGGAAAAAGTAGGACTATTTACAAAATGAAATGAGATGCCATCAAAAACATAACTTGTAAAAAAAACAAGTCTCGCAACTGCAGTTTAAAACAGTTCCTCTACCAGAAAAAGATGTGAGATCTATGTAATACCAAGTCGGTTAATTTATTCAATGTCTTAAGTTATTACGTAATTAGCTAACCTAACAGCATCTTATTGTGACCATATCAATATTAAAAATCTTTTATGTTTTAAATAAATAGATTGACTTTTGCCATCGCATGAAAACACAATGTATCTCACACGTAATACATATTATATTAAATTAGATTGTTTAGTGCAAGTTTAAAGCAATATTAATTTTTGGTACGCCCGGCTACCTTCAGTTTTTGAATACCTATATTCAAAAACTGAAGGTAGCCGGGCTAACTATGGCATTGGGACGTCAAACATCTTAGTCCCCCCCCCCTATAACCATGGAATAGGTGCTGTAAAGCACCCGAAACGTCGGGAATTATAAATAAGTTAAAATAATTAAATTAAACGCGATAAAACCCGTATAGGTATATTCTAGTTTTATTCAAAATCTAAATAATATTTCAAAATATAAAGTGGAAATATCCAAGCAGTTGGTTGGCATTTGGTATGCAATGGTTTGGATTTTAGAATAACAAACAGATGTGAGTATGACCATGCACATGAGTCATATGTCTAAAAAAGTTTGTTTATCTTATAGCTGGAACTTTTTATCCTATGTGGATTACGCACTGGTTAAAATGTTGTTAAAACAATGTTGTTTTTCCAATTTGTACTTTAAATTAATTATTTAAAACCATTCTTAACCATAGAGAAGAATAAAATGTTTTATTATAAAACTTATAGGGATTTTATTCACAAAGGGAACGAAAATACTGTTTTGTGTTGTTATCTATTTAGATGTACTGGGGGAGTTAGTAAAACTATTAGATATTTTAGTTACATTATGAAGTGTCCCTCAAGATAATATTATTTTTGGTAATTTAATTAAAGATAGAAATACTAAATTTTTTAAAGCTATATATACCTACCAAAAATATTATTGCTAGTTGTCTGTAGTATGTTATAAAAGAATAGTATACTACTATAGAACTATATAAATATACTATAGAATTATATAAAAATACTATAGAAAGAATAGTACTGAAAACTACTATAATATACCTATATATTTTACTTTTCCATTTCTCATACGCTATTGCTTGTAATTTATCGATCTTATTGTTCTGTAAAATAGAATTCAAAATGAACAATGTTTGTAACTTTATTATCTTTTGTTACAGTTATTAAAAATGCATTACGTGGGAGAGCAAGCTAGCATGCTGATTGTTCTCCCAAATGAAATTAACGGGCTGAATAGCGTGTTAAAAAAACTAGCCGATGGTTATGATCTGTTAGGCGAAGTGGACAAAATGTTCAACACTAAAGTGCAGGTTACCATTCCCAAGTTCAAGATTGAGACTGAGATCGATTTAGCCGATTTGCTTCCAAAGGTAATATAAATTTGTTTTTAATTATATTAACATCTACAATATAATGATGACGCAGATGGCAGGTACGTGTTTTGTGAAGCTAAAGAATGAAATTTATTTAAAAATAATTTGTAACAATGCTTAATAAGACCTATGATATCTCAAGAGATAGCATTCATAGTAAATTTCACAATACGCGAGCAATCCGTACTGGCACCAATGTTATTGTTCATTGCAATTGATAGCAAAGCAATTTGAAACCACTTATAGTAAGATAAAAAGTGTTTTGTTTGCACATGCAAAAACATGCATTTTTATAGGATAAGGATGTCAAACGAACACACAGTCCAACCTGATAGTAAGTAGTTGCTGTGACCCATTGACATCCACATCTATCCTCGAATCAAAGTGCGGATGTGTTGTCACTCGTGAGGACTAAGATGGAATGCCTCGTTTCCAGTAAAACGGGTCTCCGGTTCTCTACACTCATCAAACGAAACACAGCAGCGTTAAACTGCTATTTTACGCTGGTATTCTGAGAGAGCGTGGTCTTTCCCCGGTCGAGCCGACCCATTCGTGCTACAACTGTACTACTAATATAGCTGCAGTATGACTGTACCACGTATTAAATGCATGTCTGGAGAATAAATGTTTCTACGAAGTCCGCTAACAAACACTGAAGGAGTGCGACGAGTAATTGTTGCTTCATAATTGAGCCAAGTCGAAACATATAACGCTGTAACTTTTCTTATACTTTTAAATAAAAAAAATCGAATTATTTTACGGCGAATAGCTCTAACAGGGCTGTTTTTAATAAAATATATATTGGTTTTATTTATGTATATATAATCTAAATATTTATACTTACCATGTCATCAATATCTTGTTGACTGTGTAGATTGTAAAATTAATTATCAATTTTATCAGGTATAATTATATTGAAGGATTAGTAATCAGTATTTTTCGAAATCATTATGTTCAAATCAGTAACATTAAAGTTATATCTGTAAATATAACTTTAATGTTGGACAAGGGCACTCCCTTGTCCAACATCCGTGTTGGCAGACTTCACGTCTTTTTTTATAGAATAAGGGTGACAAACGAGCATACAGTCCACTGGATGGTAAGTGGATGCCGTGGCCCATAGACATCTACATTTATTTTCAATTAAGAATCAAAAATGCAGATGCGCTGTCACCCTTGAGGGCTTAAATGGAATGCCTCGTTTCCAGTAAAAAGGGTCTCCGTATCTCTACACTCACCATACGAAACACAGCAGCATTAAGCTGCTATTTTACGCTGGTATTCTGCGAGACCGTAACCCCGGTCCAGCCGACCCATTCGTGCTGCAACTCCAATATAGCTGTAGCATGGCTCTACCACGTAAAAAGTAATTTTTCAAATATCTTTTTTATTTCTCAGAAAAGCACGTTCCTCACGATATCTTCATTTGCCACCGAGGGCATGGTATCTAATCAGCACTTAAAATTGCAGTAAACAATTTCATTGGTGCCGGCGGGGATCGAACCCAAGCAGTTCTCCTACTGTGAAATTTAACGGCGAGCCATTACAATGGCTATCGTATTTTATTAACATTATTAATAAAAAATATAACGAATTAATTAATCATTTAATTATTCTACACTTTTGAAATAACTAAAACATAAGATAGACTGCAAAATACTTTGAATTTAATCTATTAATTGACTAAGAAATTCAATTTTTATCAGTGTTACACTCATTTCAAGCTAAAGATAACAAATTGTATTCCTGAAATTAACGGTGTGTTTATACCTATGGGTATCAGTTTTGTACTTTTTGTATGCATCATTATAATATAATATAGCACTAACATATCGCACATAATAATAATATCAAATAAGATGCTGCCCCGTTGGTTTAGTGACCATAAAAGCAACTGCTGATGATATGGTCCCAGTTTCGAATCATTCCCGAGCCTCGGAAAGCTCGTTATTCCTGCGGCTGTTCCTGCGCCTGATCTCTCTTTGTTGGTTGTGTGGGATTTCGATTTAGACTATGAGAGTGAGTGATAAGAGTGCCCCCTGTTTGCGTAGATACGTGCACTATATCTTGTCATGCGCAGACGTACTGACCGCTGTGACCGAAATTGGTTTCGGGGGTTTTTTTTCTTTTTAAATGTGATCTTATTTAAAAAGTTAATTAAATTGTTAGCGAATGCGCTTCTGCTGTTCTTGCGATTGATGTGCGGATGTTAACATTAGGAAGAGGCTCAAGGCCACTCTCTATTGGTTCTTTTTAATTGTCCTAGCGTTACGAAACGGTGAAGAGTTCAGAAAAGTGGTCCTCGAAATATATTTACTTTGTCCTTGATTTCTAAATCGTGTTTATTAATTATCATTAAAATAACAAATAATGTTTATTTGCACTATGAAGTATAGCGCAAACTTATTTCTATGTCATACACAATTAAAATGTGTTTTGTTTTAATATTTTGGCTTGCTTGTGGTAGGACTCTTACCTATTTGCCTATGTTTATCGCCAAATATCAGTGCCAGTACTTAGTAAGCAACTTACCATCAGGTTGATTGTAAGATATATGTGGTATGCAAGATGATGTTGTGACCAAGATTAAGAAAGGAATGCTTCGGTGGTTTGGTCATGTAGAAAGAATGAATGAGGTAAGACTGACAAAGCAAATTTATATGGCAGACGTGAACGGCAGAGTAGGGAAGGTACGCTCTAGAAGAAAGTTTATCGACCAATTGGCGATATTTTGAAAATGGGCCACATTAGAAGTGCTCTTAACCGACGAGCACGTATGCGTAGATATATGGATGTAAAGGAGGCGAGAGAGGTATATCAGGATCATGCCAAATGGAAGTCCGTAGTCTCTGCCTACCCCTCTGGTTGACAGGCGTGAGTGTTTATGGTTGTAAGATTCTCACTTCCATTTTATAACCAAAATATTAGTCGTAGACCATTTTCAGAATTTAGTGTTGCGTCGTCGTAGCATTTCGGTCTTGATTCATAGAAATAAAAATACTCGAACAAGGTTGCAAGAGCAGTTTGCATAGCAAATTTAATAGTTATTGTTTCACTCGGTTTGAATACGTAATTCATATAGATTTGAACATTAGGTAGGTTAGATAACATTACTAGTGTAATTGCTTTTAATTGTTCTTAGATTGCTTGACAAACTTTATGTATAAGAGATACACATATGTAATCCATTACATATATGTTATGGATTGCAAACATAATATTGAAGTAGTTTTTTTTAATTATACAAGAAAATATATATTTAACAAGGAAATATTTATGACAAAAATTCCTTCCAGCTTGGCATAAAGGCAATCTTCGATCGCAATAATTCAGGGCTCACGAAGATCATGAACAGCAAAGAAAATTTGTATGTATCTAAAGCTGTACAGAAAGCATTTATCGAGGTCAACGAAGAGGGCGCAGAAGCTGCCGCGGCCACAGGTAATTTAGATTATTTAGTTATCTTTTTATACCACCTCACAACGCGCGCGTACGCGCACACGCACACACACTCGCACACACACTCGCACACACGCACACACACACACACGCACGCACACGCGCACACACACACACACACACACACACACACACACACACACACACACACACACACACACACACACACACACACAACACACTCGCACACACGCGCACGCACACACACACACACACACACACACACACACACACACACACACACACACACACACACTCGCACACACGCGCAGCGCGCGCACACACACACACACACACACACACACACACACACATTCGCGCGTATGCACGCACGCATACACGCACACACACACATCACACACACTCGCATGCACGCACCGCGAGTACACACACATTAACACACTCACTCGCACGCACGCGCCCACACACACACACACACACACACACACACACACACACACACACACACACACGTTTTTTATTTGTTGATTTTTTTGAGTTAAACATATCTCAAACTTTCTGTCTTTTTTAGCTTTTTGATTCAAAATGCGCCATAATTCATTAGTTAATTTTACCTAGCACGCATACATTCGTAAGCCCTTACACTCAGTAAAGGACCTTGTTGCGCGTCTTCCCGCGCCCTTCTACCGTTACACCGTACAAGTCGTGGCAGCGTGGCACGTATAAAAAAAAGTAGTAGTTCTAAGTCTAGCGCTGAACGAAACGTGGAGGGGATAGCTCTGCGCATGTATGCGTATCAGTACGCCAATAGCCGAAGCCGTACGCACGTAGCAGTAGTCAATCAGCGCGTGTGAACGATACGCACAGCTAATCAGCGATGTGCACGCCCGCCCGCAACCCGCTTACTACCTCATGATATCTTATTTTCGACTAATGCGCAATAAGGGTCACCGCTAGACTTTCGTCGTTTTTTCTACTAATGCGCAATAAGGGTCACCGCTAGACTTTCGTCGTTTTTTCTACTAATGCGCAATAAGGGTCACCGCTAGACTTTCGTCGTTTTTTCGACTAATGCGCAATAAGGGTCACCGCTAGACTTTCGTCGTTTTTTCTACTAATGCGCAATAAGGGTCACCGCTAGACTTTAGTCGTTTTTTCGACTAATGCGCAATAAGGGTCACCGCTAGACTTTCGTCGTTTTTTCGACTAATGCGGAATAAGGGTCACCGCTAGACTTTCGCCGTTGTTTCTACTAATGCGCAATAAGGGTCACCGCTAGACTTTCGTCGTTTTTTCTACTAATGCGCAATAAGGGTCACCGGCGACTTTCGTCGTTTTTTCGACTAATGCGCAATAAGGGTCACCGCTAGACTTTCGTCGTTTTTTCTACTAATGTGCAATAAGGGTCACCGCTAGACTTTCGTCGTTTTTTCGATGTTTCGTAAACCCTTGATGCCCCACAATAGTTATATATTTATAAGCAATATTTCTGTAGATGAAGTATGTTACCATTTCGGACAGAATCTCTACCAAAAAGAAAACTTCAAATGATGTTAAAACCAGAGTCACAAAAGAAATAAATTACTTTAAAGTAATTTATTCTATATCAGAAAAGCTGACTGGATTACGATAAATTGACACATTAATAAAGAATCTGTTCTATACGAAAGTTGTGTTCTACTAATATTTTGACATACTTAAATTTTTTTTCGACTCATTGTTCTAAAAACGATTTCGTTAGGCGCTATACATACAATTTAATTATATAGAACTGGAAGTCCGAGTATTATATACTCGATAGTTGCTCGGCAAAAAATTCTAAGAACTACATCGATTGCTTTGTTATTAACGAGTCGAACGACTATTGATCGTTGACATTAGTGATTCGACTGGTTAATCAATTACTGACAGTTCACGTTTAAGTGGTAAAACCAGACTGCAGCCAAATATAGCTGCAGCAGTAATGGGTTTACTTGATCAGGGTAGGACCACGCTCTCACAGAATACCAGTGTGAAACAGTAGAATAATGCTGCTGAATTTCGTAAGCTTAGTGTATACTGGATGACCTTTTTTACCGTCTGGAAAAAAATAGAGTGTAACATGTGAACGGATTAAAGGCATTGATATTTTACAAAAAATAAAAACAAAAATTTTGAATTAATTAAATTAATTAATTAAAATTTATCGGAACTCAAATCAAATCCACAGACAATAGAGAATTGCTAGCTTACCACAGTAGAACATTGCTAGCTTAATTAAAAGCTGGAAGTTTTATAATTTTTGACCCAGTTATTTAGGCGTTTAGTAAAATTTTTAGTGATTTTGCCCAAATGACCATTCCAGCTTTATAGATGTTTCCAATAGGCATGTTACGTTTGTGCGTCTTCTTATTGCAACCCGACTAGACATTAATGTATACATCCTTGATGTAAATTAAAATCTAACAACGGTAAAAAAGACTGTCTGTGCGATTCAGAATGTACGACGGTATACCAATTACCAACCCTAGCCTAACCCAACTACCCAAAACTTTTCTAATCAAGGTTAATTGCTAGGGATTACCATAGAGCATTATCCTCGCCTATTAAACAATATTTAGATGCAATTATGAATAAAATAATAATAATTGTCGGCGTAACCAATCCCGTGGTCGTAAACGCCGCTTAATGCGCGTAGTAGCGATTCTCACTCTTTTTTTTATAGAAGAGGGGGCAAACGAGCATGCGGCTCACCTGATGTTAAGTGACTACCGCCGCCCATGATCAACCGCAACACCAGGGGAATTGCAGGTGCGTTGCTGGCCCTTTAGAAAGGAGTAAGCTCTTTTCTTTTCACTCTGCTTAAACATTGTACACTATTGTATATAAAATTGAAATTAGAACATGGTGTTATGAATGCTTCGAGTCCCGCTGATTTATCAAATTTATGATAAAAAAAAATTATCGGTCGCTATTGACCCAATTCATATGTCTAGCGCTTCATTTTGTACCTCTGTTCTTTTCTGTTCAATAATAGTATAATATTTCAAATTCAGCATAAAAATGAAAATGGATTGGGGCAGACATAACAAGGTGGTAGTTGTTCCTACCAGCCTGACTGGATATATTATATACCATCCCCTTACCCCTTTCTGCTGCCAAATAGCAGTGCTTGCATTAAATTATTTCGGTCTGAAAGGTTTTTTGTTTATATGCTTCGTTTCCAGTAAAAATGGTCTCCGGTTCTCTAAACTCACTACGAAATACAGCATTATTCTGCTGTTTTCTGTGAGAGCGTGGTCCTACACTGGTCGAGATGACCCATTCGTGCTGCAGCTATAATATATCTGCAGCGTGGCTCTACCACAAGCTGAAAAATAGAGTCAGTATAATTACTGTAACTCACTCCATTTTAGTATTCAAGAGGTTTTTTTTTAATTTAAAAAAAAAAGAATATTAACAATGCTATAAACATTACTAATATTACCCCTAACCACTCGTGGTAAGCTTAAATTGCTTGTGTTACGAGTGGTTCACGCCAGTAGTCGAATGGCGGATTGGCACCCACGACCTTTTTTGAGTTCGCGGTCCGCGCCCTGCCATTAGGCTACTGACGCATTAAAAAGTTGTGACTGCATACTACCGGGTGGTAGCGTAATTCCGTTTGTTGCCTACTTCTGTTTTACAAAATCAATATACACACAAAAATAGTCATGTTATACGATCAAATACTTATACATTATATAAAAACATAAACACTCACGCCTGTCACCCAGAGGGGTAGGCAGAGACTACAGACTTCCATTTGGCACGATCCTGACACACCTCTCTTGCCTCCTTCACATCCATACACCTACGCATACATGCTCGTCGGTTAAGGATACTCCTAATTTGGCCCGTTTTCAATAAATCGCCAATTTGGTCGATAAATTTTCGCCTAGGACGTCCCTTTCCGACTCTGCCATTCACTTCTGCACCATAAATTTTCTTTGTCACTCTTTCCTCATTAATTCTTTCCACATGACCTAACCACCGAAGCATTCCTTTCTTAATCCTGGTCACAACATCATCTTGCAAACCACACTCTTCTCTTATTACACAATTTCTTACCCTGTCATTCAGATTCAGCCCTAACATACTCCTTAACGACCGCATTTCTACTGCGTTTATTCTACTCTCGTGCTTCTTCTGCCACACCCAACTTTCACTACCATACGTTAAAGTAGGGACCAACACAGCATTGTGAATTGCCATACGTGCCTTTTTCGACACATTTTGACTCTTCACAATAGAGTGCAAGGCCCCATTCACTCTATTTCCCGCATTCATTATACATTATAATTTTTTTAATCCATGGAATAATTTTGGTGATGGGTTGTTTGTGGTCAATGTTTGTATGACTTTGTGTTGTGCGCGTGCATGTAGCGGGCGCGGTACGAAAGAAGCGTTCGCTGTCGCGTCCGAGTCAAGTTTTCAAGGTGTCGAGGCCAGCGTTGTGGTGCGTGGTTGTTGCGGACCGGATGGCAGTTGTGGCAGCGTACAGGCCGTCTGTGGGGCGCAGCCCACGCGACGACCTCTAGTGTCATCGCAGCCGCATTAAAACTAACGCAAGCAGTGTATCGAAATAATCTTTAGCCTAATATTTTAGTGAGCTCTTCACCTTACCAACAGATTCAAACTTTAACATGTTTTGTACGCATTTACGTGTACGTGTATGTGGTTTAGTATATAAGAATTAGAACATTGACGTTTATGAATTTGTTTTGTACGAATGTTTTATATACTTAATGTGTGTGTACAATGTACTAGTGTTATTAAATTAATAGATAAATAAACTAAGCAACTGATAGTATCTAGTGTTTAATTTTCTATTCTATAAAACCACGTTTAGCACTTGCCTGTATAGCGTTTTTCGTTGTAATTGATCTTTGTTTGCTGTAAAAATTTCTTGTAACTATAAATATTAACCATGAAATAGACATGCGAAAAACACTAAATATTTTTGACCTAGAAATACGCACAGTACGTGATAATTTAAGAGTATTTTCCATACTTGATTGTTAAGTGAGTTAATAATCATCAACATTTTCTTAAATTCCATAATTTTAAGAGTTAGTGCGTGGTAAATATATATATATATATATATATATATATATATATATATATATATATATATATATATATATATATATGTAGGCACAAAAATGCTTTTTACACGGAATGCAACATCGTAAACGTTGACGAACGTCACAACTATTTGTGTCGTTCATCAACGTTTACGATTTCTCGACCTAATAGGTAACGAGATCGTATTTCATATTATTGTTATTATGTGCCACCAAATCTAAGGAATACCTTTCGACAGCTGTCACATTTATTAAACTAGTCATTTCAGTTGAAAAATCGGAACTACAATATTCGATTCTTAAGGGAAATCGATATAGATTCTTTAGAGTAGTAGTAGTAGTAATAGTTTAGTATCGTTTACAGTTTTATCTAGATTATTACCAGAATTAATTAGTAACATGTAACTCAAAGACCTAAATGAGTGAGTTTCTTCATATTTATTGCTGACTGCTAATTTCTAGAGATAAAGTTGTATAAAGACCACGCTAGATTCGAAATTTATTTAAAAACTTCCACTACAACTAGTTTAGCTATCGTTGTCATCGTCGTTGTTTACATTAATTATGACTTAATTTTCTATAATACATTCAAAATTAATGTCTCTTTCCTAGTCGTTCCTTACAATTTTCTTTGTTTTTGGTTGGTCTTGGTCCAGCCATCCCTTGTGTAGTAGTTATATTTTTTACAAATCCTCCTCCGACGGATCCCGTAAATATGTCATCTCTCCGCGGCAGTGTGATTGACGTTTAGGCATGTTTCGTCAATATATTAGAATAGAATTATTTTTATATTATATAGATTACAAGAAGTCTTTTAAGCTTCCGGGAAAACAAACCTCGGAAAAGAACCGGCAAGAAACCCAGCGACCAATATATTTATTACAGTACCAATATATTTATTAAAGTATGAAAAAAAACATCATGGTCACTTCATCGCCAGGAGTTCAATCAATCATGTACGCTTTGGTAGTATAACGTAAAAAAAAACCCTAATAATCAATTTTTGCTTAATAAAAGGTTTGAACCTTTTGATAGATATGGTCTGCGTGTTTTCTGAGACTAATGTAAAAGCGTATATGTTACATACATTGAAGGAATCACCGACAGTTTGGAGTCGATTAACCGGTATTAACTTGTGCTTATTCTATTATTTAAAAAAAAAACATTTTTGATTTTCTGTACATGCTTTAAATTTCCGTAAATATATTGAGAGGCTAAAGTTAATATATTTATTTATTTTAATTTTTCCCTAAGGATTCCTTCCGATTTAGATTTTAAAATGATGTTAAATAATAATGCTCTTGCAAAATAAAGATAGTTTCAATGTCAGTCGCGTTATCCCATAGCAAGATTCCATATGACGTTATGCTATGGAAATAAACTAATCTAGCTGTTTCCACATATGTCCTTACATGTGTGGAAACAGCTCTTATCTTTTTTACAACATTGACATAGATTTTTTACAGCATGCATGTATTTAAAGTTGTCCCAATTAGTCAATGTTTAATTACTCGTAAAAATGTATTCTTTGTATTGTGTCTCTAAATAACTATTTTGTGTTTGTTATTTGCTTTTTTATCGGATCAACTTCTTTTCAAATAGTTCTCAGTAACTACTATTATTGTACAAGCCGCCATTTGCTACATTACAATTTCGCCACAGTGGGATTCACAGCAACTATAAAAAATTAGACTTGTCTAATTCATGATTCATATAATTTTCAAAAAATAAAAATTAAAAAAAAAAATAATAAATAAAAAAATGTAAATTTTCGAATGTGAATCATCCAAACACTGCGGTTAGGTACATATAACGACATCTTGAAATAACGTCAGGCAAAAACAGTTGATTCTAGTTATTTTCTTTATAGTTTGCTTTTTTTGAAAGATTCGATTTTAAATTAGTGAATAAGAAATATATGTTGTAATTAAATATAGATAACTTCATATTTCATTGGATTTATGTAAAAGGTTATTTCAAATAATGTGAGTACGCTTGTACAAAGTTATTGTGTAATGATTAACGTGAAACTTCAAAAGGTATTTCTTAGATTTGGTGGAATATATATTATCTACTTTTTCATTATGATTTTTTTTATTTTAGCTGCTATTCCTCCTTTCTGTTTATCTCTGCTTAGCTTAATGTTTGTCTGGCAGATTATATTCTTAGACTGAGTTCACAATAATATATAGATACTATTTTTGTCCCTAAAAATTAGCGTTTGTAACTAAGCGAAGACATTTCTGTTCACGTTTAAACTGGTGATCGAGTGTTTATCTCCAGGACAGATTTAAAACAATGCTTTTTGTTAGAAATTGTTTTTGTGTTTTGAATTGTTTTTTTTTATATTCGTAATTTTGAAGTATTTTCTGGCCACAATATTATCAGCCTTAATAACAATCAATATCTGATTTATTGAGACATCAGTAGTGTTATCTAATAACAGGTTCAGCATTTGATATACTTGTGTTCGGGAGTCGAAAGGAATTTTGAAATAATACAACTTAAATATTACTTGGACGATTGTATCATTCTCACAACAGTTATTAGAGTAATGATATATTGCAAGGACAAAGGACCTGATTAAAATTTACGCAATCTACTGACGTAATTTACTACGAGTAGTGGAGACTCGTTGCTCGGAAAAAAATGTAGGCGCTTAAACATTGTAGTGTACTGTGTAGAATAACATTATATTGTAGAATATAATAACAGGCTATATTTATTCGCATATTCGACTTATTCTTTAGAAAATTAAGTTTTTTTACGAAAATGAAATATCACGCACCGTACGCTCTGTATTTGTTTCATACAAATATATTTGTATAAAATTAGTCGCGTCTTGTATAAAGTGGTGGCTACTGCTTGCTTTGGTTTTTTTGTGGTACAGGCATGGTGATGATGCTACGTTGCGCGCGCCCGCCATCGCCGCAGTTCCGCGCGGACCACCCCTTCCTCTACATGCTCGTCGACTCACAGAATAACACACTCTTCGAAGGTGTCTACCGAGCCACATAGAGTGAACTGCCCAAGATTCTGCATCAATATTGCTTCGCCTTTACATTTACACCACTTTCATGAATTTATAACCTTGTGTGCTTTAGATGTTGCATTATTGTAATATGTTAAAACTTGAATTTAATTGTATTCTATAAAACATCATATAATTATTATGTCATTTCATTTAGAAAAGCAGTGCTTGATTTTTTATGGTTTTATGATTGCTTATATACACTGTGTACTTATTTATTATTAGGTGATATTGATTTCGTTACGCAAGGAAAAATATTAGGTATATTTTTTTCAATGATTTTAAACGTTTTTTAAAAAAAATGTGCCCCTTTAAAGTAGAAGATCTATTTAATTTTCTATTTCACGAAATAAGGCCTCATAAATATTTAATAAATCATCGAAATAATAAGGATTATGATAATGAGTATTAAATAAAGCATAATTAAAGCGAACTTTATTTTAGATGAGCTAAATGCCCTAGTAACTTTTAGTGCGATATTTATAAAAACTCACATACTTGTCTGATATTTCAGAATTATCTGATGTGTATGTTTACATTACAGCAATGGGCATCATGTTCTGTTCAGCTATCATCAACGCACCCCCGGTGCCTCGCTTCGTAGCGGACAGGCCTTTTCTATCTATAATACTTGCCAACGGCACCCCGCATTTCATGGCCGTACATCGCGGCGATTGTTGAGAATTATCTGTCGGTCGCTGATATGTATTAATCATTGTTGGCTTGTATATTTTTTTATTTTTGAGATAATTATCTACGACATGACAAACGCAACATAACTACTAATATATTCTAACATTGTTTTAACATATTCGATAATGATTTCTTAAATTTACGCGAACACGACACATTGAATAAAACTATATTTACGGATTTTATCTCGTTTAATCAACCATTTTAACTTATTTTTAATTCCCGACTTTTTAGGTGCTTTACAGCACCCATGGTCACGGGGGGGGGGACGTAGATGTTTGACGTCCAAATGTCATAGTTAGCCTGTTTACCTTCGGTTTTTGAATATTAATTTTTGGTCCGATCTATGCAGAACTAGCTTACAGTATGTTGAAGTCTTGCAGTGGTATGCTTGGATTAGCGTTTATTTTGTTAATTATAGGATCCCAAGCAGATGGCAGCACCCATCCACCCATCATGTTGAAATTAGTATGTTTTTTAATTTCAATAGCCTCGCGTATAACGCTTGGTAGGAATCTGTGTTCTTTTACGAGGATTTGTGGTTTATCAAATCTAATATAATTGTGGGGATGATCTTGAACACGTTCACAGACTGCAGACTTCCCGGAGCGTCGATGCATGTTCGTTGAGAATCAAAAATAAGTAAAAAAATATAAAATAGTCGATTAAACGCGGTAAAATCTGTAAATATAGTTTTATTTAACGTATTCGTTTTTATTGTTATTCCAATACGTATAAATACCGCCTTATTACAAACAATTTTTACAATTAATTTTGAACTAGACTAGATAAAAAAGTGCCTGCGGAAATATGCGAAAACAAGCGCTGCGGCAATGGATTTTTTTCGTGAGAAAGGCTTTAAACCATAGTTTAATAAATCACGTTTTGTAATAAGACGGATAGTGTTTTACTTGATATAATCATTGTACTTACGTGCACAGTATTGTGTGATTAGAAGATAAAAATATATTTAATTAAAATAATTTCTTTGAATATTTTCCATTAATGTAATAAGTATTATAATGTGATTTAATGCAGATTGTAATGTAATTAATCGTTAGTTGTTTTTGTAAAACTACTTACAACATGTTTATTTTTGAGAGCAAGGTTATATTTTTGCTGTTAAACTTTTTACATAAAGTGCTCTTACCTGAAATCGCCTAATATTTTTTACTGATGTTAAGAGTTATTATTTACATGCATTTAACAAAATAAATTTATTTAAATACTAGTTGTTTTCTTTTCCAATTGATTTTGTAAGGTAATTTGTATACAACATGTCCCAAAATTCAACGATAAGCCAACACCGGAGGATAGACCTGCCCCGGACTAATCGGGGAAAAAAAGAAAAAAAGATATATCCCAATTATATTTTAAGTTATATAAAAAAAATGAAATCTTCAGAAATTGAGACCGTTTATGATATTTTTCACTACCATGACCACAATTTTTTTAATATTTGTTCCTTTTTTTAATAGGCAACCTGAATAGCACTGCTATCTACCACAATTCTTAAAAAATCCAGAATAACTCTTGTTTTATCACGAAAATTAATGAAACTTATTTTATTCCCTAAATTTTTTGAAGACTTACTTTTAACCAACTTTAACTTTCGTGGTGTAAAAAAAAAGTATGAACACTAGTATGGCAAGTTCTTTTAAAAATTGACGCAACTAACCAACATTACAAAATGGTATAATATTCTATGAAAACAAGTTATAAAAAAATATGGGCCTATTATTTCTATACAGGGGCCAAATTCTTTAAATTGTAATTGTCAGTAATCACTTTTACTACATGCACAAAATGGGTTCTTGTTACAATTTCTAGGAATTTTAATGGGGTATACATACCTTAGATGTTAGAGAGAGATAGATAGAGATATTTACGTTAAAAAGGGACAACAACAGGGCAGGTAGAGAACCTGTTATTATTCTCAGCAAGTTAGACATGGGCAATATCATGAATATGATGAATATCACTAGATTAGCCATGACTGGACACCAGTCTATCATTATAGCCTCTTGCTATATCCCTAGTGGAACCCTCCCCGTTAAGAAAGATTTCGAAGCCATCCTTGCATTAGGCGACTCAGTCATTATGTTTGGAGATTTTAACTCCAAGCATACTAAATGGACCTGCCGCACTACTACTAGTAGTGGCAGGGTGCTGCTCAATATCACTCAGTCTCTCGACCTGACTGTCTACAGCCCCCTCGCTGTCACCCACTATCCCGACAATATTAACTACGCTCCTGACGTGCTAGACTTTGCTCTAGTTAAAGGAGTCTCCCTTAACCTTAGAGCAATCGAGTCTCTCGATGATCTAGGATCCGACCACCGTCCTGTATCCCTCCTTCTTGGCCATCAGCCATCTCCAACTCCCACTTCCAAAACCTACACCAACTGGAAGGGCTTCAAGAAGTCTCTAGCTTCGGCTATAGACTCTCCGGACCCTCCCATAACCCTTTCTCCCGACGTCCTCGACAGTACGGGGAAAATAGACACCGCGGTCGAAAATCTCACCTCACTTATAACATTCTCTCTCTTAAAGAGTATGAAAAGGTCGTCCCGGTTGCTAAAACTAGTCTTCCCCTAGATATTAGTAAACTGCTAAAAGCCAAAAAAGCTGCCATCGCGGCGATTGTTGAGATTATCTGTCGGTCGCTGTATGTTTATCATTGTTGGCTTGTATATTTTTTTTAGAGCTGCATGCTATCCCACTTCCGAATATAGACTCGCGGCCCACCGCCTTCAACGCAAACTCCGTTACCGCCTCCAAGATTACAGAGACCTCGAAAGGGGCAATCTCATGGAGAAAATCTCTCCCTCCCACACAGCGTACTATCAGATGGCGAGAGCCCTCCGGATAGACGCTATAACGCATACTCCCCCTCTGTCTCGTCCCGACGGCTCTTTTGCCTTCGAGGACGAAGAAAAGGATGAGTGCTTCGCTGACAGCGTCGCCGCTCTATGCTCTCTCAGCTCATAACTCACTGACCCCATACACATTCAACTAGTGGAGGACGAGGTCCGTCGCCGGAACTCGCCCACCACCGTCTCTGACCCTATCACTGTGTCCAAAGATGAGATTTCATCTACCATGAAAGGACTTAAGCCCAAAAAAGCACCGGGTGCGGATGGCATCTCCAACCAAGCCCTCAAACACTTTCCGGAGCAGGTGATCGCCTTATTGGCCATAATCTTCAACGCCTGCTTCGAATTCAGCTACTTTCCCACCTCTTGGAAAGAGGCAACTGTCATTGGCATTCCCAAGCCAGGCAAACCTCACCACCTCCCCTCGAATCACCATCAGCCTCCTCAAGGCCATGGGTAAACTTTTCGAACGAGTCATTCTAGTGCGCATGAGGCGCCATTTGTTTCCCACAGACGGCGACCCTCTTGTAATCCCACAACAATTCGGGTTTCGAGCCAAACACTCGTGCCCCCAGCAAGTTCACCGCATAGTGGAATATATCCTCAGCGGTTTTTATCCTCGTCGGCAAAAAACCATCGCGGTCTTTTTCGACATTGCCAAGGCATTCGACAGAGTTTGGCACGAGGGCCTTATCTACCAAATTGTACGACTTAGGCCTCCCTGGCCGTCTCGTTCGCCTTGTTGCCTCCTATCTGAAGGATCGTACCATTCGCTTTAGACACGAAGGCACGCTATCCTCTACTCCTCAAATCAAAGCCGGTGTCCCTCAAGGCTATGTGCTTGCCCCCCCTCCTATATATACTATTCACCAACGACATCCCTATCCCGTCGAATGGTGTTAAACTAGCCCTCTTCGCAGATGACATAGCCCTTTACTCTAAAGGCAACTCACTGCCACAGATTCGGAACAAGATCCAAAAATCAGTAAGCGACTTAGGAACTTGGTTCCAAAAATGGCGTATCGACGTAAACCCGGAGAAGAGCTCCACCGTTTGCTTCGAATATAAACGACGCCGTCTCACCACCACTCCGCCAATCAGGATGTTAGGAACCCCTGTCCCATGGGAAACTACAGCTAAATATTTAGGCGTCACCCTTGATGCAAGGCTCACTTTCGAACCCCATATCAAGAAGGTTAGTCGCACCGCACGATTTTACATGGGTAGGCTCAACAGCATGTTGGGCAGACACAGTAAAATGTCCCTCCGCAACAAGCGAACCCTATATAAGGTCTGCATACGACCTGTCATGACCTACGCGGCCCGCATTTTCGCACATGCTAAGCCCAAAGCTATAAATGAACTTCAAATAGTTCAAAATCTGTTCTGTCGTAGGGCCACTAACTCGCCCTATTATGTCCGTAATGCCGACCTACACCGAGACTTAAAGCTCCCAACAATCCAGCAGTTCCTTAAATCACACTGAGAGATTTTTCAAAGCCTCAGAGGGACTCTGAGGCTTTGAAAAATCTCCCAAATCATCTCATTCGTGAGACAGCTGCCTATGCAGCCCCTATCCACACTCGCTATAGTGTGTGCAGACCGAGAAACTCTCTCGGACCCCCCCCAACAAGCTTTCGGCTGACCTGAACTGCCTCCTGGCGGCTCTGGCCGAGCCGACATAACACATCCTTTAATCTGCCTTAGTTAGGCACACTTCCAAGCGGCTTTTCGCCGCTTGCGCCCTCCTTTCTGCCAAGGAGGGTCGCGTTCCTATACGAAATGCTCAAAGATATCCTGATTATCGAGTGTTTATTAATGTGCATCAAGCGTTTTCGGAGGGTCGTATGCCATCCAATAGGAGAAGCGCTGGAAGACCTAGATTGGATCGTGATGAAGAAGTTCTCAATGAGAGAAAATGATTCGACTACTTCGGTACGTGCCATAGAAGAAGCTACAGGAATCCCGAAAAGTTCTGCACATCGAATACTAAAACGTCACAAGCTTCACCCATATCACTACAGGCGTGTGCAGACGTTATTACCGCGGGACTATCCGCTACGAGTCACATTTTGCCGTGTGATGCTGCAAAGGCACAGTGAAGATCCCCAA